AAACGACGTTCGATAAAGATTCTTTGTATACGGTATCCCATGAGAAGGGCACTGCAAAAAATGTTATCATTTATTCTCCAAGTCGCGCAAGTAAAAATTTATCTACGCCGAGAATATGTTTGATTTGCACCAGAACACAGATCCTAGGTAACAGCAGTATAATTTTTGAGGTTAAGCCCTAGCTTCGCTCACAAGATCGCTGGCCTCATATATTAGGTTGAATAACATCTTCAACAAGGTCCTTCGAAGACAGCTCGAAGGTGGGGCATTCTTAGTAACCTTCCGCTATCGACTACTTGAATAGACAATGAATAGACAAAAAAAAATAATCTCATTCATTCTTCAAACTAAAAAAGATTTTCCTGTACCGGGCATATGTCTGCATATTCCTGTGTTGTGCATTCGGTAAAGCTCTGATGAAAATGAATTGCATGCTGCTGCATAATGAATAAATTTGCTTTTTTATATAAAAAGAAGCCATGAATCCGCATTACTGCATTCGATGTGTACATTGTGTACATACGTTCACGCAAAATTTTATATTTTTAGGGAACATTCTGTTCAATACGCAAACATGGGAAACAGCGAGGCGCAAAAGCGCGCGTCACATGCGTGCAAAATGGACTATGAACAGGCTTTGTTCTAAGGGCTTCAGCCTGCAAGGAAAAAGCTGTTGTCACACATGTTGCCGGTTAATGTGCAAGTTCATTAGCTGTTTTCACCTCAGTCCCTCTCCCAAATCAGAAATTTTCTGCTAAAACCATTAGAGAATTTAGTGCACGCAGGGAATAGTCCCATAGATCTACATGTTAGAGAAGGATATGCAAATGTTCCATTAGTATAATATAACGAGATTTTGTACGAACAATGATATTCCGTCTAGAATGCAAAATACGATAGCCTAAAACAAAGGCTGAGCCACGAGTTTAGTAAGCTCTGTAGAGCAAGAACGTTTCCAGAAAGTAGAAGTTTCTACAAAGAAGAATAACAACAAACCTGGTGCACTCGAGTATTTGATATAGATCAGTGAACTTAGATATAGATCTATTTCACCTTTGATACTTTGACTATTTCAACTTTAGTACTTCTAGGACAACTCTTATATGATTTATTACAATTCACTTGTCAAACACATTATCAGATCTTCTTTCGCCTTGCTTTTCAGAATTTTCACATGACTTAGAAATTCCCTCAAGATAATAAATGTCTAAACATCAAGCTCTCCACATGTGAAAATATTTTCTTGGTTCGAATCCTGATCAATAACATTAATCAGGGCAATTTTCACCCGACGGTAACGTTCCAGTGATAACAGACAACACTTGCTCGACACCAAGCTGTTCTTTTACCTATGCAGACGATCAGAGATCGCCTTATCAGAAATCAGCTACACTCATCAAGCTTGATAAAGAAAAACCAAATCAAAGGCAGACTGCTTAAGAACAGAGCGTATAACTTCTCTTATACATTCTCTATGGGTTCCATCAAGAATTTCTTCTCTGATAGATAGACCATAAATTTCAATAACAAAAAAAACTTTGCCTTTGAAAAGCAAAAGCATTGCAATCACAACATATGCAATTGTGCTCTATCCTTTGATTCAACGGGATTGGTGGCTGGAAGGCGATCTCTCGAGCCCGCGCACTCTGCGTCTCTTTCGCGCGCGTGTTCTCTAATCACTCTCTAGCCTCAATCAAGCTTCGAAGCCTCGCCTTCCAGCCGCCAATCCCGCTGAATCAAGGGTTATTCCGCTCTGTTCTCAAACAAATACCCACCCACTGATAAAAATTGAATTCCAAACACGCACCTCTCTCTGATCATCATCAGTTTCGCAATGGCAGTGTCCGCTGCTGGAATCATCATCAGACGAGCTCATGGAATCCCCATCGGAATCTGTTCGCGAAGTGCTATCCATTAATGTATTGCCATTTATTAATGCGGCAACACCACCTTCGATGAGCATACGTCTATCGAAATTGACATCAGAAAGGAAGCCAGCGTTGGACGGCATCTGCAAATAAATTGTCATGAGAATGTGACAAGATATGATTGCGAGACGATCATAAGAACGAGGCATATGAAAGCTATGGAAGAGATGGTTTGGAGTATATGGAAATCACAAATGTACTGCATTTTAAAGATATCGAACAGATGTAGAAAGCATTTTTCGTTTCACATTGCTAGCGGCAACCGAACTCTTGGGATTATGTAACGCACGATCCTCTTCCAAGTCACCACGCTTTTTTCTCAGACAAATGTAGACGGAATCCAACTCCATGCCTGAGTATTTTGCCACCCTAGCTTTCGGCCGCTTGCAAAAGTCTTTCTGCCGATTTTTGTTTTCAATGATGGCCCTTCCGCAAAAGAAAAGAATCATTCGCCTCCCTCACCCCTTCGTACCCCCCCCCCACATATACCGATGAATGCTGACTCGGTTGGGTTCATACCAAGGCTCGGCACGAGCTGGCACCAGAAAAGTTTCAAAACGAAGTCCCCTTTGGTCTTGAAAATATCG